AATAGAATTAATTACTTTAATAAATTGAGTTTGCCTTGTTGACATCACAGCGCCGTCATCTCGAAGGAATAACCAACAACGATAGCCATCAAACAAATGCCTTTGTTATTGTTTCTGGAAGCCGGTCAGGTAAATGACATTGATTTCGCTTTAGCATCGATATTTCACATGAACCCTTGTCAAACTACGGAATAATTCCTGCCTGCAATGCGTCTCAACTATCAGCTCAAGTTGCAGATATTTTCGTATAAATTAATTTAGACAATTTTTGAGTGGAGGTTGCAGCAGCGTATACACTTTCATTCTTTAAAAATTTAAAACAAATCTTAGAGATTTAAAAAAGTCTTGGATATTAAAATAATTAGTTTCTGACTATGTTTTTATACGTACATATATATTAAGCTGTTGAGATCGATATATTTGATATACGAAAAAAAAAATAACGGCTGTAACCCTCCCAACGCTCACTTTGATAAATTCTGGATCCTACTTTGGGGTATTGAAGCGCCATGATTCCAATTTGAATTATAGATCCGCTACAGTATAACATAAAGCTAGATGCTCTGGAGCTTTTGCCACAAGTCACAAAACTGGTAGTTACGCAAACAGCTATGCTCATTAGCTACTTTGCCTTGTGCCTGCTTATAGATTTCTGCCAATACCCTTGTTAATAAAAATGCGAGACATTTTTTGCAATTAACTTAAATAACATTTAATCCGAATTTACAAGTTATTCAATGTTAAATAAAAGGTTAAATCAAAGGTTAAAATTTAGTCTCAACTGCACCCTCTGAACGTTATCGACGGTACGATCGTTTTTCCCATTGCCTACTTTGTTAAATAGACAAATATCTCCCGCTTTCCCAATTGGACCAATCAGAATACGCCACGTCAGTTCATGCGTAAGCAAGTAGGACTTACGAGGATTACGTGAGTCATGCCTCCAGATCGTTCGTAACAACCCTTTTCTGCCCATCCTCTCCTCCTTGCGAACACTTCCTTTGTAGAAAGAGGGTTGCGGACCTATTAATCCAAAAGCAGTTGCAGAGCGGACAAGTTCCCCCTTTTAAGGAAAGAAATGATGGTCGTCTGCGACAGGCTGATATTTAGCTCAACTGCAACATCCCTTTGCAAGGCCCGACTCCGGTACCCTATATCGCAGAGAGTGCTCTCGAATATACATTTTGTTAATATAACAATTTCAGAGGACCCATCACAACGACTTCGATTGTTGGTTAACAACTCAAGAAGCTCGACTCGTAGAGGCGCCATAACAAGAGGGCAGTACCCGGCCTAAGGGAATATTTTCCCCAACAATACTCTTTATATTAGAATGCAATGCAGTTTCTCAAGGACCTTCGATCTACTATCTACTCGTAAGAAGACGCATTTCGCTATCTCTTCATTAACCAGCGAACTTTGGATTTCCACTACTAGCAGGAACAGATCAGGATTAATAGACTTACCTGCTCCGTAAGCATGCTGATTTAGATTTATATTTACGATCTCCAGGGTCAATCTCGACGCAGATAATATTTGTATGAAGTTTAGCACGTAAGAAGTGAGACTAATTGGCCTAAAATATAATAATATGTCTTTGTACCTTAGGTATGAAGATTGCCTTTATTTGTAGAGAATAAATGCCTTGAAACTGAATCCGAACAATTTAGCTCAAATACGCCAGCCGAATGTCCTTGAGCGCCTGGGAGTATTTGCGTTGGCGCACATTTTTCGGGGGGAGCGTTGGTCTCCAATCGCATGTAGTTCTTGTTCGATTTTCAGCAAATTAAGGTGAGCTTTCAAACCACTAAAGAGCTACAGTTCAGGACTCCGCTGGAATACAGTCGAATATATACCTTTGGCTGCAGATCATCATATACCTTACACCCATTTCTTTTGGGTAGTGACCAACTTATTGCAACCTAAAGACATTTTTTTGATGTTTGTAAATTCTAGACTGTCTTAACACCTTAACACCTGAAATTTCTTTGTATTATATATTTAGTACCAAAGATTGCTTCACTTGAAATGTTTGAGTAGATGTCAGGTATAAGAACGACACGCGATTGGACACCACTCCAAGTCCTTTAACTAAACCTTACATTCTCGTATACATATACATATGTACATAATATTTGCTCTTCAGGTGCTCTTCGTCACATATGGTAATGAAATGGCACAGGCTCAAAATTTCAGGTATTTGTCGCCGTGACCTAGTGTTGCCTGCCTAGTGTTTCCCTGCAGAGCGGAACCTTTCTAAACAAAAGGAAAATGACAGTATATGTATATGTACATATGTGCGGCAATTGTGGCGAGAACATATATTGTATTTCTAGCCTTGTAGTCGCATAATGTAAAAATGATTCGAGTTGAAAGAAAAATGTTGTTTAAAGACGGTGTAATGTTTATTTAACCCGCGAAAATGGCGCATGCGATGTCGCCCACCTGGTCTAGCTGCCGTCATATGTATGTACGTAGAAACATGCATACGCGCGAGTGTCTGCTGAGCATGTTGCCTGAATAATGATGTGCTATGTCGTTGCTGACACACTTAGGAGGTGTGCTGAAAAGTTCGTAGCCTGATAGACGGCTGGTCCTATTAACATTAAATCCATATGATTTTTAGTCAACCTCTGCCTTTCAAAGATATATGTACATATGTACAAATTTGAAAGCTGTCGAAATATTTCTTATGTAGCTAGTTTATGAAATAGAGCATTTGGGTGAAGGAACTTGTGTTAGTTTACAAAAAACTGGATCAAAAGGAATTCCCTTTGTTAATAAAGCATTGCTTTCTAGGACGAAAAAATACTGATGAAGTAAAGGTTTGGATTGATTTGAACTCTACACCAGAGAAATCAACCGTTGAAAAGGGATTTGCTAGTTCGAACGTGGCGAAATGGGCAAGGAGGACGATGAACGCTGTGAACGCCTAGAGTATAGATGGTACCGACGAAAACATCGAAAAGTCCAAAATTAATTTCGGATGCCTGAATGTTTTCTGATTTCAGTCTGCAAGAGAATGCTCCTTGATAAGAAAAAGGTATTCACAGAAACTGAGGATCATCTCGAGACATATGTAATTTAAAAATGGTAGTGAAAGCGTTTTTTCATCGTTGTATAGCCCCATATAGTAGTTATCCTACTTGTATATAGAATAACAAATTCAATATTTCCAAAAAAAGTTAGGTTAGCCTACGAGCCATTCAGTCCACCTGTTACTGAGGCAGTCGTGGTTATCTGCAAAGAGGTTTGCTCGAGTTAACAAACGACGGCAACTGAGGGATCTGTTTTGGTTTTGCAATGGCTGACTGAAATATGCTCATTTAGCATAAGAGATGTATGCGGTAAGAGAAAGTCTGTTATACACATTCATGAATAATTACATTGCAAAAGTTGCAAAGGAGAAATGTACACACATTCTTAGTAAAACTGATACTCGTACACACACCTAGTCCCACATTAAGTGAAGAGATAACATATGTATATGTAAGATAAGTCAATATGTTATTTAACTGATTGACGAGGAATTGGCTTAGCGGCGTTTTGAATCGTGTATTTTATTTACCAGCGTCGTTGATGAAATTGTTTATTAAGTAATTCGCAACCCTCCAAATTGTGTTCAAAGCCTGAAATACTATACATACAGTGAAATCGCCTAATATGTACAGTCCTCACAAGCTCATACCTCCCAACATACAAGATAACATACTTATATACTAATTTCATGAACACAACGTTTTCATTATTATATTCATTCAAAACCATTTTCTACAATCGCACATGAGTACGTGCCAATGACCGGACGCGGACACTATTTTGGTAATATTTCTGTGCAATTATCTCTGATAAACGGACAGGATTTTATAAAATGTGTTTTTAAATTCGTATTAATTTTTTTTTATTTTATTTTATTTTATAAGAAAATGATCACAGCAAACAAATCGACATGCGTTGACGTCGTCTGGCTCGCGTTAACTAAAGGGAAACTAATGGTATATTTGCCATGCATCCACTCCAGGCTGGCACTGGAACGCTCCCATATGTGTGGACATCTTCCATAGCCGAACAAAAACATTTCACTATGTATACATATATTCCATTATTAAAAAAAGAATAAACGAGCTCTTTATTTTCAATTTAAAATGGGCTCAAAACATTTTACTTTTCCCATATATTTAATATGGGAATTGGGTGGTGGTGCGATTTATAGAAATAAGTGATTCGGGGAAATATTTTGAACTGCCACAATTCGTGAAAAGGGTTTTTATGGTATACCGTGGACAAGGTACTAGACGTGTTCAAAGAATATCGGGAATAAAATATATTTGTAAGAAAAAAAGTTTATTTTAAAGGGTATCGGTTTAACTATATAAATAATAATTAAAATGAAAAACTTCATAACTTTTTTACAACGCAGACTCTTAGAGGGCATAAAATTTCTTTAAAAACCTGCCTCAAGTAATTTTTACTCAAAAACTCGCATATTTACAAGTTTTAAAAGTGAAAAATATTCGAACAACATACAAATACTGCGGCAAAAGTTTCTTACTTTCTTTTTCAAAAAATCGTTTCTTTTGTTTTTGTTTTTAATATGGCTCAGTTCAGCTGTTTATTCCATAACTATATACATATATACGATGCTTACATAAACGCCAATAAAATTACAGCTTATTGTTAAGGAAAATGAAAGCGAATACATTAATTATTATTATTCTATAAATTCTATAAACTTTAAAATTTTTAAATTGGTAAATACACAGTATTTAGTTATTAAGTATATTAATATATAATGACATACATGGTCTCATATTTGACATTATATGTATATGTGTATGTGAGCGTATTCAGCTTTCTTTGGTCTTCCTATAACATACCCTGCTAGATAAAAAAGCTTACTGTAACATTTTTAGATTTGCAACACACTTATGGATATATATTATATTTTGTGTAATAAAATACTTAAATTATGATCTGATTTATATATATTATATGTACACATATATGTATTTTGTATATAAATGCCATCAATATGTTTTGTTTTATATTAATTACTTACAATAAATAAAATAGCGTTTGAACGGCTCAATATTCGTTCAAGGCTTCATATATCCGAAGCTCTTAAATCTTTTGCTTGCTGAGAAAATACTACGTGGCCTGAATAGTATTTGGCATGAAGGCAAAAGTTTTTGAATACTAATAAGAGTAACCCTCTTCCATGGCCCAACTTTCAGAAGTCTATGACGTTGACTAGCTTATTTTGGCGTCGTTTAACGAGCGTTCTTCGAAACAATGAGACTCTTATGCGGCCAATCGCATTTTTTCCTAATTAGCCGCGTCATGTCCCCTTAATTGGTTGATGGATCATTTAAACCTTTCTTTGCGATTATAGAATAACTGAAAATCGATCCATCCATATTAAGAGTCGCTTCATATGGGCGCTGAGCACAATGCTTGACTAGTACACTTTAAATATTAGATGACAAAAACATGTACATGAACATGAAGCACACCTTACACATGTCCACACATAGTCCGATGCACGCTCCACGCCTTGAATTCTTTTCAGCTTATAATTCTAAATATATATTCATATGTATGTGTGTCAAATGAATATATGAAAATATCCATTGACCTACGATTGTGCGCCCACCTGCTGGCCTACAGCCGCATCGATGTAGTGGTGGTGGGTGTTTGTGGTCGCATAATGTTGCTGCAGAAGCGTCGGCAGACGAGTCGCCAGAATGCTACGCGAAAGTCGATGCTGTAGAATGCATAAATGAAGGGATTAATGGCGCTGTTCAGCCAGCCCAGCCAGGTGAGCACATGCGTGAGGGTCCGGCTGACCTGTCGCGGCTCTAGAAACGGTGTAAGCAGGTAGTAAATGAAGAATGGCAGCCAACAGGCAATAAAGCCCCCGACCACAATGCTCAACGTTTGTGTAGTCTTGTGCTCTTTTCTCAGCGAAATTATGCAGTTGGCCAAGGATCTCAGTTGTTGCTGTTGCGGTTGGGAACCGCGTGGCTGCTGCATACGAGCTATCGATCCAGGCGGACACGACTGGGCGTATTGTTGCCTTTTGCCATTGGACGTGTACTGATACACCACACTTGGTGGCGTTTTCCATGACACGGGTCGTGTCAAATCGTTGATATTACCCTTACCGCTATTCGCCTTTGATAAGCTGAGCAGTGGACGGACGTTTTCCGCATCGGGCACCATGACTTCAGTTAGCTCATTAATGATGGTTTGATTGGAAAATCTCCGCTCTTGCGAGGCCTTCTCGCCTGTCAACTCGAAGAAATCCTGCTCAGCATAATTGTAAGTATCAACCGTAGTGTAACGCCTGAATCGCTGCGAGAAGAAGAAAATAATAAAGGTTGACCGGATTAAATTTGTAACGAATTATCAGCTTATGTAGCTTTTTCTATCGGATATATGTTTACAATATTGCAAGAAAAACTAAAAAAATTTAATTATTATTCTGTAGGACTTTTTAATTAAATTCATATGGAATGAAAGGGAATTAGTAATGGCAGATGTAGGTGTGGTTTAATTAAAGGTGAAGTATTCGTTATAAAAAAACATCAACTCCTTTTGCGAACTTTAAGAACCACTTGATATCTAAGTTTAAGACTTCGTCTAGTCCTTTGAACCGCAAAGCTCCTAGATATCTAAGACGAGTTCTAGATAGTGCTGGACGGAGACATAGGAGGTGTTTCAGCGCCTCTCTCAAGTCTGTGCACTTTCTGCTTGTATCGTCGTTACTCATGACCATAAAAAACATGCGAGTTTTCCTACGGGAAATGCGAGGTATATTTTTATTTTTTTTAAGACGTGGAACGCTACGAAAACATATGTAAGACCCAAAGGTGCCAATTAAGATAGAGAAGACGATTAAACTAAAAACAATAAAACACATGTCAAAGCTCTCTCTCCACCAAATTTTATATTTACTAAACTTATTTATTCGATCTTGCATGACAGTGCGCTCCTCATTTTGGAAGTTAAGCACAGAGCGAATAAAAAGACATTCATCTTTTGGTTCGCCTGATTGGCGAACAAAACCAAGTAGTTTCTCTAAATTGGCCTTGTCGATAATTTCCTAATTGAATTCGCTTAACTTGCTAGTTGTTTATTGCAAGCCACTACTAATTATTAATTTACCTTCCAATGCACACTGGTGTGGGTCATTTTGTCATGTCTCGAGGCGATAACGCAGGAAATGCGCGCATAAACGTAAAGCATCACAATCATTGGCAAAAAGAAGGAGCCGCTGGCCGAATAGATGACGTATCCTTTATTTTGATTATAACGGCACTCATTACGGTCACGTCGACCCGGCTCGTACCTATAGCAATATGGAAAAAAAGTCAAGAACATCAGCAATTATCGGGTGATTTTTTAAGAGCTTGATAACTTTTTTAAAAAAAAAAACGCATAAAATTTGCAAAATCTCATCGGTTCTTTATTTGAAACGTTAGATTGGTTCATGACATTTACTTTTTGAAGATAATTTCATTTAAATGTTGACCGCGGCTGCGTCTTAGGTGGTCCATTCGGAAAGTCCAATTTTGGGCAACTTTTTCGAGCATTTCGGCCGGAATAGCCCGAATTTCTTCGGAAATGTTGTCTTTGTCTCTTATACACATCTAGATGTGTATAAGAGACAGATGTTGCGTGTAGCGCCATCTTGTTGAAACCACATGTCAACCAAGTTCAGTTCTTCCATTTTTGGCAACAAAAAGTTTGTTAGCATCGAACGATAGCGATCGCCATTCACCGTAACGTTGCGTCCAACGGCATCTTTGAAAAAATACGGTCCAATGATTCCACCAGCGTATAAACCACACCAAACAGTGCATTTTTCGGGATGCATGGGCAGTTCTTGAACGGCTTCTGGTTGCTCTTCACCCCAAATGCGGCAATTTTGCTTATTTACGTAGCCATTCAACCAGAAATGAGCCTCATCATTATGTAGACCATAAATCGGACGTAAAGCGCGAAACACATTTCGAACCGAACACTGATTTTGGTAATAAAATTCAATGATTTGCAAGCGTTGCTCGTTAGTAAGTCTATTCATGATGAAATGTCAAAGCATACTGAGCATCTTTCTCTTTGACACCATGTCTGATATCCCACGTGATCTGTCAAATACTAATGCATGAAAATCCTAACCTCAAAAAAATCACCCGATACATTTCAATTTGGTTGAAAGGCAAAAGGCGTTTCGAATGGCATCCATGTGCCGGCGGGTTGCTACATCACCTTAATGCTTAATGCATTTATTACGACACAACTTACCAGCCGAGCATGGGCGGACAAGTTATCGCCAGCGCCAGCACCCAAACGATCAGTATCATTAACAGCGCCAAGCGTTTCGAACGGCGTTTACGTGAGTACTTCAGCGGTTTTGTCACGGCGAGGTATCTGTAAACGGTGGAAGAAAACACAATTGGACTTACTAGAATAGAGCTATAGCTTAATATTCATTATATAAGCGAATTGGCTTTGTAGAGGGGCAACTCACCTGTCCACGCTGATGGCGCACAAGCTGAGTATGGACGCGGTACAGAGCAGTATATCGAGCGATATCCAAATGTCGCAAAGTATCCAACCGAGACGCCAGGAGCCTACAGTAAAGTTAAAGTTTTCAAATAATGCTTACATGATTTTTGAACACATGCTTATGATTTGAAATATAATTTTGGTACTAATGAATTGTATTGAGTTTTAACATAAAGAGATAAAAACTATCCTATAGCCCAGTAACTACCTCCCCACCAATCGGTTCAGCCGTTCTTGAATTATAAATAACTAACACGGTTTTCTTTGTTATGCATATGTATATAGGATTACCGTATTTTTCAATAAGTTTTGCCGTTTGATAAGAAAAACAAAATTTTATGATTCAAAATATGCTTTATTATTCAGTATAATCTGCCTGATCATTGAAGTGAGAATCCGGAAGGCCTGCAAAATACACTTCAAGAGCCACGCACACATTTTTTTGAGTTTTGGTAAACAAATGGAAGTCGCTTTGGGTCAAATCTGGTAAATAACGTGGATGCTCCAACAATTCGAACTTTAATTCATGAATTTTGGTCAACATGCTCTTGTGACACGGCGCATTATCCTGACGAAAAAGGATTTTTTTCTTCTGCAAACCGGGTCTTTTCTCACGAATATTTTCCTTAAACTAGTCCAAAAGGTTGCAATAATATTCAGAATGAATTGTTTTGCCAGTTTGCAAGTAATCCACAAACAAAATTTTCCGATTTCCGGACAAACTCGTTTCGAAGACGAACAACCAGGTTCACACCACTCTTTAGCCTCTTGTTTTGATTCGGGATCATGGTGATAGACCCAAGTCTCATCCATAGTGATGAATCGACGCACAAAATCCATTTTATCCTTTTTATAACGTGCCAAATGTTGCTGGGAAAATCGTATTCGAATGTGCTTTAGTTCCATTGTTAGCGAATGCGGCACCTATTGTGTAGACAGCTTTCTTAAACCAAAAATTTCGCTTAAAATATGGATCACACTGCCTAATGAGAGGAGTAGAGCCTCTACTAAAGCTCTCTCTGTCAATCAACGATCTTCCAAAACCATATCCTGTATTTTGGCAATGGTTTCTGGTGTTGACGCGCTTTTTGGACGTTCTTCAGGTGGATCGGTTTCAAGGCTTGCACGACCACGTTTAACAGTCTTTCACTTGTTCTAATAGTAGCTGAACAATCATTATACACTTTTAACATTCGTTCGTGAATATTTTTGGTGCTACACCTTCCGAAAATAAGAATTTTATCAACGCACGATTTTCCATTGCAAAAAAATACTTTGACACGGCGATACTAAATGGCTTGTAAACAAAGAATGAATTGACAGATTGAAATGAAACTTCAAATACGTTCATATCAAGAGTGTACCCATAAAACAAAGAAATGTTGGGCTAGTAGCAACGCCCTCCCTTATCGAACGACAAAACTTATTGAACAACCTGGTACCTCGTGTTTTCTATGGAGTCCCTTTCTTGACATCCGAAACCAATTTAGAAAATTTCCATTTTCTCTCCGTCGTACGAGAATAATGGAGGCAATGAATTAATCAGTATTATAGTTTCATGGGCCTTCCAAGGGTACCTATGTACATACATATGTATATTAACCTTAATTTAGCAGCAGATTTCATACAGCGATATACACCCTTACGGTGGCAACTTCATGTAGAATATGGCTTTTTGTTTGCACAAAAATATCATTATTATTAATGGGTTGTAAAAAGGCTTTATTTCGTGGCGAAATGTCAATTAAATTATATTTTTTATTTGTACGTATGTATGTGCGCATATCCACGTATTTTGGTTTTCATTATCTTTTTATGTGCTTTTCCATATGGAATTCTACCAAAGGCACACATTCACACTTGAAGACTTCATAAAAACTCATAGACGCGTAAATGGCGTCGCCAAGCTGTTTAATACTTTTTGACGAGCTGAGATTACTTCCAACACATTTTGAGGTATGCGGAGAAATGATTCAATTCAAGTGTTTGACCACATTCTTCGACATAAAAATTTTTATTTCCACATTTCTTTGCTTTGCACCGCTTGCGTTTGTCGTTTACAGTAACAATTTATGGAAATCTTCCTCGTTTTACGCATTAGATAAAAGGTATGCGAATGATTTTAAGATAACACAGGTTCACAGTCGAATAAAGTTGTGTTCACACTGCTACGTAAATAAATTGTGGTAAATTGCCTCAATAAACCAAGTGCACTCTTATTTTCGGTTATGTTTTTGTTGTGAGAGTTTGAGGGAGCTATGTTATAATAATATAATAAGCATTTGATTAAACGAAAATAGAACATTTCCAGATTCGCAGTTTTTTCTACTTTTATTGCACTGAAAATTCTTTGTTTTTGAACTTTTAATAGCGATGATGATATCTGATGTTTTTCAATTATGGCCAATAAAACTTAAAACCGAAATTGTTTCGATTTAATTTAGCTCCTGATTCTTGATAAATTATGTACCACATTTTATGATTTATGGCTAAAATGATCTAGTTTATGAATAAACTAAGAATGAGCGCTAAATTCAGAAAGTGTGAACAAGATGTGAGCATCTCAAAATCTTCATTATGTAATCTTTATAGAAAAAAACTTCTCATATTTATACCAACAAGAGACCGTGAACTGAAAAATATCTGACTTCAGGAATTCCTTTTATAATCTTATTCTCTTATGAGGATTCTCTATAGACCCTATAAATATATACATATATAAATGAATAGTATGAGGAGCCGTTTGGATTTAGCATGTGCGTCTGTGTTATACTACTGAGGGAAAACAAAAAGGGTGTCACTTTTTTATTTAAATATCGCGCGAAATTCCATTTTTTTTTTGTAGCTGGGTACGAGTATAACCGTCAGCGATCTGCACATGGAATAATAATTAGTATTTATACGCTTGTCTTTTTGAAGTTCATATAGTTCATTCGGTATTTTTACAATGAGTGAAATTATTCAACAAAGAAGTTCCATTAAATTTTGTGTGCAGAATCAAATTTCTGGTGGCGAAACTTTTGATAATTGTTTGTCGGGAGCAAGTGTTTTTGATTGGTACAGATTATAATCTATAATCTTTGAATAATTATTCAAAGAGGGTCGAGAACGGAATACTATTGGAGCGATTCATAAAAAGAGGCCGAAATTATGAGCCGACAACTCTTGGTTTTGCACCCTGATAATGTGCCGTTGTATACTACATCGATTCTTCGTGAGTTTTTCGCCAAATTTCTAACCAATACCGTGCTGTAACCACTGTATTCACCTCATGCAGCGTGGTGTTACTTCTGGTTATTCAGCAAACCCAAACGACCACTCCGAGGAAACCGTTTTGAGTCAATTGAAACCATTAAATGTGCATCGCTACAAGCATTGAAGGCTGGAATTGATTTTAACAACTGCTCCAAGGATTTAATAAACGTTGGCAGAAGTGTATTGGGATCAAGGGGGATTACTTTGAGGGGACGGCATAGATTTCGAATAACGAATTAAGAATTTTAATCTTTCTGTTTTTTGCCCATAGTAGTATACGCAAAGTAGTCAGTAGTCCCCGCAACAAGCTACACAGCCGGAACCACCGTTATCGGACCATAAATAAACCGAATTTTCGAGTAGGGATAATACGATTTATAAGTGTTGTTTCGGCCATTTTTAATTTGTCATAATCAGTATTTTTATTTTATTCAGTAATGTTTACAAGTACATCATTGAAAGATATAAGGAAGAACAATGTTTACAAACTATTCAATGTTATTATCAAAATAATACCAATTGCAACTTTTACCATTTTATGTTCCTAATAATCGTCCATGTGTGCTCGCCATTTGTCGAATTGTCAAAAACCGCTCGAAGTAATGAAGATGTTGCTGCCGTTCAGGCAAAGGACCGAAGACCGCAATTTGTCGATTCCAAGACGTTCTCAAGAATTGGAACTGTCCCAAGGCACAAACTTGCGGATTTTGAGCCAGAATTCGGGATTGCATTCGTATACAATTGTTCTTATTCAAGAACTAAAGCATCTTTTGAAGAACTGAACAGTAAACTGTAAGTTTGCTTTGGAACCACATGAAAACGCTAACGTTTTTTTAAAGAAATCATCTTCACCGATGAGGATCCCTTTCATCTCAGCGGTGCGAAAAAAACAAAACTGTCGATTCTGGTGCAAATAAAATCCTCAAATTATTCATGATTAACCATTTTGTGTAGTTTTTGGTTCGGTGGCATCATTGGTCCATATTTCTTTCGTAATAAATCTGATGACACCGTTACTGTCAATGGAGAAGCAACATAGATCGATGAAAGTATACTTTTTATAGCCACAATCACAAGTTGATCTTCACAGCATCTGGTTCCAACAAGACGGAGCTACGTAGCATACAGACGTGCAACAACCGAGTTATCGCGAGAAAAATTTGGAGATTTGCTTATTTCAAGAAGTTGTGACATTGAATGACCTTCAAGAAGTTGTAATTTAACACCATTATACTACTATATTTCTTGTGGAATTATTTGAAGTCATTGGCCTTTGGCAATAAGCTAGATTCTCTTCAAGCTTCGGAAGTCAATATTGAAAGTTCTATTCATGTAAAAAATACTCGAAAATTGGGTTCATTGAATTCGTTCCTACGAGTACAGAAGAAGTCGTAATTTTATCGATTGTACTTCATAATATCCATAATGCAACATGTATGCATTTAAACTAACAGTTAATTTGAAGCTCTAGTTTGGCACATTATACCTGGCCTTCAAGTCGGAAGGTACTATAGCATTATATGTGAGCGGTCGGTGTGTGTGGAGTGGTAGCAGCTAATGGACTCGGCTCGCAATATTGACTAAATTAAGTTTTTTGGAAAATTTAAAGCGGCGTATACCCGGAACCGCAACGAAATAGGACCTGCTATGAAGGTTTAGTCTGGTGCACGATGGCAATCCTAAGCAGATAGTTATGGTTATCTAGCAATGTATGTTGTTCAAAGGATAAGAAGTTACCACATCCACCTTAAGGTCCGGATCTTAATTCTATGTTGAACAATTATTTATTCGGTATAATGCTTCAGGGACTCTATCACTCTTATTGGAAACTCCTTTAGCTTCCGTACAAACTGTTAGATTAAAATCACCTGAAACACTATTTTATTCCATGAGTGATAAGTGATTTCGGGCCAACGATACAACGTTATCTTTGTGGAAGTTGTTAACGCTTTTTCTCATTTTAAAATAATAAAATTGATATTTGTTGAATCAGCTAAGAAAGACATTTATAACAGTATATTTGAACAAATTATTGGGCTTAAATATTGACGGCTACCAAAAAAAAGATTCTTTACTTACCCACTAAATGTACGGCTACGGCAGGTGGCATTACGAATATGCCCACCAAGAGATCTGCAACCGCCAGACTCATTACAAAACAGTTTGTTACGGTGCGCAGGCGTCGTGTGGTTATAATCGCCATTATTACTAATGTATTGCCCAGTATCGTGATCACGATGAGCACACAAAATATTGTGATGAAACAAATGCCTTGCCAAGACAGCATAAGATCATAGAAATGTGTCCACTCTTCGCTCGATGAATTCGAAATCTCCAAAACTTCAGTAACGGCACTGGTAACGGTGGTGTGCGTCAAAGAAGCATTTGATTTGCTAACAAGTCGTTGATCCAAAACCGACTGTGTCATGTTGTCGCTGTTGGGTGTAGACGGCGTGTAGTATATAAGACCAGACGGACTCCGTACAAAGCTATCTTCGTTCGCTCTGCGTGAAATGTGCATGTTAATGTGGTAATTAAAAAAAATGTGAAGAATAATTGAAATCACTGAAATAAACATATTTATTGGTTAAAAAAGAGCAAAATGGTGACAATTTAAATTTCTGGTCATATATGTACATGCATTTGTCAATTTAAAAACAAGAAGAACTGTTAACTAACCCTTCACAAATACAAAATATTTCGTGCAAGAATCTAATACTGTTTGATCTATTTGTACGTCATCTATATGCTACAGTGATCCAATCAGAAAGTCCTTCCCCTTTTGTTCGTCGGGAGAGAACTTTACTTCACAATTGCCTACTAGGGTGGGTCGATTCCGGACTTTTTCGATTCGGGATTTCTAATAGGGCGAAAAAGTTGCCTTGGTACTGCCTGATTCCAATGCAACTTTTTGTTTTGAGATCGGATTGCATCTTCAACCCCAACTCCGGCCTTGAAATTTCGGAAATTCGCCTAAAATCGTGAAATTATCTACCCAGCGCCTGAAATACGCATATCATGGCAAAAAGTACTAAACTTTGGCACTTGTTGCCTAGATTTCAGTGTAGAGCGTATAAAACGATCACAAAATTGGGGGCCAATAACTTTAGAAGATGCCTCTGTCACCAGTTTGACGGTTCTCTCGACTGCCACGGTGTGAGAGGGGAATTCACTAAATTTCCATACCTCTGCAGTGTCACCAGACAGCCCTTTTATGAGTTCTTCGTTAGAAACTGAACAAAGAACTAATGGAACAGTCAAGGTAATAGTCTTCCAGTTAATCATATCGTAATAATTATTAGCTTTGAAATTCAGCTTTGGCACTTTATTACATTTAAACCTTCCATTTACAGTGTCAGACTCTGCTTCTCTGGCTGCCAGAAGACGGTCAAGGGCCAACTTTCTGACTTCCATCCGTTCGTCAGTCATCATACTAAGGAGAATGTTTTCTGGAAGAGCGAAGAAAGCATTCTCTTGAATGGATGAATCGACAACCTTGCGCAGTTTAACAATTAAGTCTCTCGACCTTTGAATTGCAGCATAGAGATGGCGCGAGCCATCTTTGATTGAACTGTTGAATCTTATTGAGAACCWCAAAGGTGAGTAAACTGTAAGTATGTACTTGACCAAAATCTTTATTTCCTTTGTTGGTTGTCAGTAGAAATGTATAATCCCAGAATTCTATTTGCACAGGTGAGCCAGCGAGATTTGCACATGTTACCTGGATGCATCGACGCTAAACCTGCGGAACATTGACCGGAAAAATTAGCTTCTAATATTTTATAGAGATAAGCTTGGTCTGTGCTAAGTTGGGTCGGATTAATAACCTCAGAAGGTAATTGGCAGGATGGAAAACTCTCAAATTTGCCAACAGGAGACTTCTCACAATCAGGGAGCAGTTTACCTATATCGCCAGAGAATGTATTTGGACTCTTTGAGACACCATCTATGTGTTTGAAAAGAGCACGAAATGGAAGTTCGTTGAAATGTAGAAGATAAACAACCCACTGTAATGGCCTACCTATTCTTTCTTCTAGTTTCCGAATGATTCCACCTTTCCAACCTGTGTTCTTGTTGGTACCATCAGCAGCGACAACTTCTAGATGTTCCACATCAACTGAATTGTCTTGTAAATGTTGCCATATAGCTTGCGTCTCATCCTCAGCTGACCCGGAAGGAGAGGTGACGTGGCCAAAGTAATGACAACCAAGTTCCGCTATAAGAGAAATATGTTCCTCTTTGATAGTGTCGCGGTAGTACTTTTCACCTTCGCTGACTTGTGTAAGTATATTGTCTTTGCGGCCGTCAAAATACAGTCCATATACAAAGTCAATACTTTCGATGTTTTGGAGCTTAACTCCAACACTTTTTTTTGTCCGACTAATCTTGCATTTGTCAGTGACAAAGCTAGCCTGATTCTCTGTTATCAAACCTGCTTTTTTGGCATCCAGAAAAGCAGATGAAACAATCAAGGCCGCTGCGGGGGGGTTCGATAAGGCCATGCGAAATAAGACCATAATGGCCTTATCTCTCATCCAAATGAGAGATAAAGCCATATTCTCTAATTTCCATTTAAATGTGAGATGAAACCATATATTTTTTTGATCAGATGGGACATAAAGCCATATTTTTTATTTGCAAATGAGAGGTACTGCCTCTTTCTTTTAAAGTAAATGGAACTAAAGCTATTACGGCTTTATTGCACATTTGAAAATGGTTTTCTAGAAAAACTAAGAAAACTTTTCGCATGGGGGAGGGGGCGGGCCGGCGCGCGAACGGCGCGGCGCGGCGACACGCGAAGGAGAGTAATCACAATAACCGCCAAACCATGCTAATTGCTTCCTTCCGAGCCACTCATTTGGTTATAGCATTAGAAATAGTCGGTGAAATAAATAAAGCGTATGAAAAGTCTTTCTCTATAATTGTGTCTATGTAAAATTTTTCTTTTGGATCAAATCTAGACATAGCGAATTGTTTTTGAACTTCTTCATTTCTAAACATATCAATGATTTCTTCGAATGTGGTAGGTTGTTTGGGATATTTTTCGTGTGACATTTTTCGTGAACCAAACTCCACTAAATGTGCAGATGATCTATGCTTTTTGCACTGATCGTCAAATATTTCACGAACACTAGTTCTTTTTAAAGTGGCATTTTTGACCTCACTTTTGATCGCATTTATTATTTTCAATTTATCAAACAATATATTTTGTTTTTCATGATCATGGACTGAATTTGAGTTTTTAATTTTACGACAATGAATCAGGAGGTTGTTGAAATCAACTGCAACGCCAACTTTACAGTTCTTATTGTATTAATAATAGTATTTAATATTTCTACTTGTATATTTATATCTATAGATTTGTTCTTCCTTTTCAATATACAAAAGTATGTGTTCACATTTTTCATTTTGTTTAGAATTTCGCGAAATTGAAAACACGTGCACGGCAATAAAAATATGGCATTAAATAATAACGTCATTGTCAAATGCACTTTTTATCAACACAGGGTGACTTCTAATAAAACAATACATTGCCAATTGCACTTCTTGTCAAAACAGGGTGAGGATTTCCCATTTTTGTTATCTTGTAAAAGGGTAACACTTTACTAATCTTGCATAAATTGCAAAATATAAAAAACGTTAAAAAAATCAAATATGATTTTTCTTTAAAATGCATTTGAGATATAAGGCCATATTGAATTATGTGCTATTGTGAGATAAATGCCATCATGACCTTAACTCACGTGTCCTTATCGCACCCCCCCGGCCGCTGCTCTATCACTTACTCCAAATCTTTGGGCAGCTAAAGCAGTGTGTTCTAATACTAGTGTGTTTTGTTTGGTTTTGGAGGATGGGAGAGAAAATTCATGATCAGCATCGTTTTTGGAAGAATCCATGTGCGACGCACATACATTGTTGTCGTCTGTATGAGAGTCTGGCTGATCTGACTGGTCACGTGTTCTAGCTGATACTTTTCTGGTAAGTGTTGATGTTGAATTACGTTTTGAAAGCTTTTCTTTACGTTAATTTTTCTTTGTAATCTTTTTTGTTTCAGGTAGATCAACACTTCCAATGCGACGAATTCTTCTGGTCCTCTGGTCCAAGAGAAATAGTTGTTCATTGATAGGAACTTTCSYTTCCTTTGGACAAGTGCAAGAAGAAAAATAAATGCATTTACAAGCAGCGATGTCAAATAATTTTCCGGCAGAAGAGACAAAGTCGTCTCTTTTAGAGCT